AGAGAGAGAGAGAGAGAGAGAGAGAGAGAGAGAGAGAGAGATATTCCATTTTGCTTGCGGCAGTGTATATTTCCATGTTCTAGCGGTAGATTCATGCGATTTTGCTCGTCCTAGCGATGGAAGTGTGGCAGTGTATATTTCGATGTTCTAGTGGTAGATTCATTCCATTTTGCTGATCCTTTAGATGGAAGTAGATGTGATTGTGAGAATGCAGGTGATGATCATGCCATAAATGTGTGAGATCCTTTGATGGCATAAGAGTGGGCACTTATCAATCCATGATGTGAATTGCAGCATTGATCAGTAGGAAACCAATACACCGATTGTGAGCTTTCATGCGCTGCAAGAAAAGGCTGAACAGAAAAACAACACATCGATTGTGAGCTTTCATGAGCTGCAAGAAAAGGCCAAACGGGAGGGAGGAGAGGACGGACATGATAAATGCCACATTCAACAGCTGGAAGCATTCTTTCTGTTCTCTCTCTCTCTCTCTCTCTCTCTCTCTCTCTCTCTCTCTCTCTCTCTCTCTCTCTCTCTCAGACACACACACACGCACACGCATAAAGTACTGTATATTTCGATGTTCTAGCCGAAGATTCATTCGATTTTGCCCATCCTATGATTCCTAGCGCAGGGCCTTCGCAAGCAAGGCCACCTGTATATGGACAATGGCCAGCCTATGGACCCATGGGGCCCTGACCTATGTTTGGCTCCTACATGCCATAGGGAACGGGTAGTCAAGTTCCGTCTGGGCAGATGGTACCCTACTCAGGGCCTCAAGTGAGTGCAATGCCGCCAAGTTATCCAGCAGCTCAAGCCTAGCCCATGGCGCCACCTCCACCACCCGCTCAGCAAGGTTCACAAGCTAGTGTGGCTGGAGGGGGGAATCAAGGGCAAGGCAACCAAGGGAATGGAAGTCGGGGCGGTGGAAGAGGACGAGGTAGGAATGGAGGAGGCCTAGATGGCCAATGCAATGGCCAAGGCTATCAGGACCAACGAAATCAAGGCGGCCAGGAAGGAGGTCAAGGGTACGCGAAGCCTCGTTTTGATTGGCGGAATGCCCTCCTCCTTCCTAACGTCCTCTCCTTCCTCCTCCTCTTGTTGTCCTAGTAGATCCTCTTCCCCTTCTTCTTTCCTTCTCCCCTTCTTCTCCCGTTTTTTCCATTTTCTCCCTCTTCCCTCTCTCTGTGGGTGTTGTTTCTCGTATTATATTTAGCTTCTACCGTCGTCCTCGCTGATGTTTCTCATCTTGGTGTGCATATATACATGCAGGTATACATGTAGGCATGCATATGTGTACATATATATAATATGTTGCAGCCCCGCGGTGTCGATCATCTTGATCGACCACTCTTCCCCCCCCGCCTCCTCTTGCCCCCACCCCTTCTCCGTCCCGTGCCCTCCGTTTTGGCCTCCGTTCATCTTGAGCGATCACTCTTTCCTCGCCACCCCCTCCCCCTCTGTCCCCACTCCTTCTTTGTCTCGTGCCCTCCGTCTGGGCCATTTCCCTATCTCCATCTTTGTATATATATATATATATATATATAGCCTCCTGATGAGTCGGTGAAACTCCGACGAAACAGTTTGTCACAGCCCCTCGTTTGTTGTCCTCTTCTCCCTCTCTGCCTACGGTTTACCGGGCAGTTCTATTTGACGATATAT